AACATCGTTCCCCATAGCTTACCCTGAACCTTTAGCTTTAGGGTGAAAAAACGACCCAAGTGAGGCTGGTCAGCATTCTTCATGACCCTGATTTTTTTAAGTAGAGGGATTTGGACCAAGCAGGAACAATCTGACTCCCCTGAGCCACTGCTGGAACCATTGGGGAAAAATCCCTTTCTTTTCTCCCTGGAGTGCCAGCTGTGAGAAGCAGCTACCTGGAGCTCCTTCTGCCGTTTCTGACACCAGGTGGGGAGGACCAGCCTGAATAGAGCCAACAGAGACAGGGAGATCGAGTGATCAACTCAAACCAAACTGGAACTTTTCCTGGTTTTAACATGGAAAGTCTTAGGCCCAGGATCCCCCTCAGACCTGGGCAAACAGGGATGGGTTGGTCACCCCACAGAGAGAGGACCTGGCAGGAAAGAGTCCCACATATACTGTTCCAACCCCAGATCCAACTTTATTCGGGGGCCCTCCTTGGGCACCTCAGTTCTATGAGCCGGTAAGTTCTAGAGTCTGTTTAAGCAACTTTGAGTTGTTTCTGTCACATGCAACTTGAAGAGCCATAACACACTCCCAAAGAATGTCCCTGTATAAATAAAACTCCAAGCGAAAAAATCAAAATAAATCAAAGTAGGAGACATGCTATTTTTAAGACTGAAAAAAATGAGGAAATGCGATCACGTGGTCACTTGTGGGGTTGACCTAATTTATTTGACAAAGGGGCTCTGAAAAAAAAAAGTATACAAAATGGAAAAAGGGAAGAGGCAAATGAAAACATTCTTATGGAAGAAAAACATCATAGCATGAGAAAGGTCAGAGGAACATAGGAGCAGAAACCCAAAAGACCAAGCTCAGGGTGTGAGGGGGAAAAAAAATGTGGCTGAAGCCAAAGCACAGAGCAGTTTTGCCTTTTCCTTAAGGATAGACTCCCCCCGTCCTTGTGAAGTGGGGCCAGAAGACAAGGTAGCGCCGGGAATGGACTGTGAAGGAACCAGACCAGCGGCAGCTTCTGCAGCTACTACACAACTGCACAAAACTTAAAGCAAAATATCTTAAAGGCCTCTGGCACTCCGCCCTGGGACAGGTGAGCCAAAGAAAATGCTCTGGGAATAACCAGAAAAGCGAGAGGAAATGGATTCTCTTAAAGGAGACATCTAGCAGTGACGGCAAGGACTGGGGACGCCAGGGAGTAGCAACAGGCGCCAGAATTCAAGGTGAGCACCTGCCCTCGGGGCCTCATGCTCTGTAGCGTGAGTCAGGGAAAGCTCTGCTCCTGGAGGGTTTCCTTTGAGACGATGGCCCAGGGAGAAATCTAGACCATCTGTCTGGTACACCAGCCACACAGGATGGAATGACGGCCACCCCTTCTGGCTTCTCCTGAAAAAAGAAGGGAGACTGGGGCCCCCATGGAACTACTCTTGTTGGCCCCATCCAGCGCCATTTCTAATTCTAACGCAGTTTGGGGGAAAAAAACCTAAGCATGGAAAACCAAGAGAGAAGTTGTTTTCGCCATAGAAAGGCAACATGAAAAAAGAAAAAGTTTTTAAGCAGTGTGAAGATATGTGATTTAGTCCTACCTCTATGAATATACTTTCCCTTGAGTTTTAAACAAGTCTCGTTTTGTTTTCTGATATCACCTAGTAAAGGGTATTAACCATTTCCGTGGTCCTAGTCCTCTCGTGGGTGTTTCAGGGAGCCTGATATGCCTGTGCAGCGCCTTTCTAGCACAGACACTTGAATTTAGGATGTTTAGGATATAGAGAGAAGGAAACTTCGAGGGAGGAAAGGAACAGCCCGACCTGAACTTGCACATTTGCAAAAAAGCTGTTTATGCTGTGTTTACTGAAAGGCTTCCCCTACTTAAAACATGACACTGAAAATAGAAGACCCGATATGGTGAAAGGCTGTCTGATAATAAAGAACCAGATTCACCCACCAAATCTTACATCACAAAGAAGACACACGTGCAAAACCGCTGGAGTTATTGGAGTGTGTGATGGAAAATGGAGAGTTTGACCACTCTAGCATCTGATGGTTTGTTTTCTTTAAATCACTTGTAATTCAGGAAGTCCCCACCTACCAGCAGGATATCCTTCTGCATTCTCCCTGAACCAGGATGCCTTCCGCAGTTAGAGAGGAAGGAGGCAGCAACCCAGGAAATGTCATGCTATTCTGAAAAAAACATCCTTTGCAGAATCAGACCACGGAGCCTCTCTGAGCGGAGCTCTTACTGCCAATTTCCCACAAGGGAAATGAAATTCACTCACCAAGGCTAAGAGGCAACAAGGCTGACGGAGTCCAGACTCACCAAACAGCATTTCTACAAATTCTCAACAGCCACGTGCTAGGTGTTTATGTGGTTCTGGACCTGGTGTCTTCTGCAAAGAAAGGCAGAGGTAGGGACATAAAGGGTCTTGCCTACCTGGGGGCTCATTTTGTAGATGGGGAGATGGGAGTGCCCAAGAGGCAACTGATACAGGGTCATGCTGTCACTGTGAAAGGGCAGAGACCAGCAAGTCGCACCACAAACCTGCAGCAAAAAAGGTCTTCTTGCCTGTGTCTGTCTAGGTGCCATTCTTGGTCTTCCCACCTTGTCTGTGTGATTAGGGCTGGAAAGGAGAAAGGGGCTAAGAAAAGAAAAAAAGGAAGTAAAAGTTCTTTTTCCCTTGATTTTCTTAAATTGATTTGCCATTGATAAGGCTGACCATCCTTCTGCAACAGACAATTAACACTAACCCAAACCCAGGTTTTTCTTTTTTTAAGAAATGACAATTCAGGCTTTTGCAGAGTCGAGAAGCGCCTTCATCTCAGTACGATCTCTGTGGAACCACGTGGCTAGGACCTTTATAAATCTCAAGGGAATCGTGCAAATAGACAGGGAATAAATATTTAAATATGAACATCATCTAAGCAACTAATGCTCTCCAATTAGATACCAGCGATGGAAACAACAGATAAAAGGTGAAAAGATGGTGGCGGGAGGAAGGGAGAGGTCAGGAAAGAGCAAGTGCACGGTACTGAGAGCGAGCCTGGTTCACCCGGCCAGTCACTCCGGGATTCAGAGACCAAACACGGTATTTTCCAGAGAATGCTGGCATGTTTACTGCCCAGCAGGCCCTGCCCTGCAGCCTGAGAGCACCTACCCGTGTTTCCAACTTGGCAGCCCCCCAAAACCGAGAACAATGATGGCTTTTCTCTTGCTGTAATAATGCTGTCGAGTTCATCAGAGATCCATTTTGTATTTTTCATTGAGTCCAAAGCATGCTGTTTCCTTCAGAAGAAATCCTATCATGTTTTGTATAGTTTTAAAAATAATTGATCTGGTCCATTAGTAAAGGTAGAACAGTCTTGATGAGAAAGAAAGAGGGTCTTCTGGAATCTCATTGTTTATCTGAACTAAAAAATATATGTGTATTTTAAAAACTCTACACCTATGACGTAGGGACATACATGAGTCCAAATATTTCTCCGCTCACGGGGTCTTAGGGAGACAGCTGTGGTGTCATAGTAAAGCCTCCTGTTTTCCCATTCATTCATTCATTCTCCTAATATGTATTTATTGAGCATTTACTATGTGTTCTATGCCTGGAGGATACAGCTGTTAACAAGGTAGAAAAATGACCCAGCTTCATGGAGCTAATGCAGAGAAGACCAAGAACAAACCCAGGCAAATAAGTAAGGGTGATAATTCCAGACGGGGATAAACTCTTTGAAGGCAAAGGGTTGGGTGGTCAGCTCGGCTTCTCTGGGTTGATGACATCTGGCTGATAAGCGGGAGCCTGTGGAGGTCTGGGAGTAGACAGCAGAGCGGCCCAGGCAAAGGCCCTGGGGTTACCACAAGTGTGACAAGTTAGGGGCAAAGAAAGAACACCAGTGGGGACCGAGAACAATAATCCCCACTGTGGTAAAACTTTAATAAGATGATGAGTGCAAAAGAACACGATGAACTGTAAAGCCATGCCACGGAAAGGTGTTCTTGGCTTTGCTAGACTATTTTATTCCCTATCGCCTAAAGAACATCATTCTTTAGATGTTTAGAGTTTAGAAAGGATGAGGGTGAAAACCAAACACTTCAGTTTTCATCTTCTACTTCTCATAAAAAGGAGCAGGCTCTCGAAAAGCCCGTTCCAAGACAGCACATTGTCTTCACGTGAAACACGAAATCTCACCTACCTGGAATCCTATTGAGTGTCACCCAGAAATGTTCATCGGGACTGAAGGTGTCTTTGGACCACTGGAGCAAGTCAGCAGCCCGGGGGTCGTGGAGAACAAAGCTGGTAAACGCTCTTGACAGAGCAACGTAGGCAGAGCCAAAGTAGATGGTGAGATTATGGGGAGGAGGTGGTTTCAGTGTTGTGGTTCTTATCACGTAGGAAAACTCTTTGCCCAGGTGCTCTCGGTGGACATACTTGGTCCGTCCAATAGCGTGGGCTGGGGGCAGCACCCCTGGGGTGATGTTTTTCCCTTTAAAGCCTTTCAGATACTGAACGATTTCCCTGTTGGTTTTCAGGGGGAAATCCTGCCCGCAGGTGTTGATGGCGTACTTCCAGGGCACCTCTAAGGCTGTAAGATCTTTGATGCAGTTCAGGTCAGCCTGGAGCCTGGAAATCCCACCGTAGACCACTGGCTCCATCTTGGAAGCCAGAAAAGCATTTGGGAAGCAGCCCAGTAATTGCTCCACTGCATCTTTAAATTCAACTGTCGCTTTCTCATCCACATGAACACAGTAAACATTCTGAGGCATGTAAATTGCCCTGAAGAGCCTTGCAAAGGTATCGAAATTATGATGGATGACCATAGTGTATGCCAAAGGAAAGTCAGCTTCTTCTTTCGATAAGGGGGCCGTGATGTAGCGGCTTTGGGTCAGGTATTCCTTGCAAGAAGATGTCTCGTGTATCATCAGTTTGTTTCTCCAGAGGAAGGGTGTTTTGCCTTTGATAAACGATGCGCAAACTTGAGTCAGCATCAAAGTGTCTGAGCTATTTAACCTCTGGAAGCTTTGCTCTCCCCCAAAACCGAGCACATAGAACACGATAAAAATGATGACGCAAGAGACAGAAACTGTAAAGAGGGAACGCATCAATGAAGGCATGCCTCCAAGAGGAGCAGGATTGCCAAGACCGTCAAAATCTGTAAGTCCTTTCCCAAACTTACTTGTTCCTCTGAGTTCTTACTTTAGTACATACTCCAGTCATTCCTGCCCTGGAGGAGACGCTGTGAATTTATTCGGTTTCATCCTGGGAGTCCAGCTGCTGGCTCTCTCCCTGCGCTGATATTAGCAACTGATCCCGCCTAGTCCTCTGCCTCCCTCTCAAACCGCCTTTGTCTAAATCCCAGTAGCAGGTTGCTTAAGCCCAGCCTTTTCCCCTCCCTCTGGCTCCCTGCTTGCATCGGCTAGCTGTGTCACTAAAACCCTGCTCATTCCATTTCCCCTGCCGATTTGGTTTCTCAACTCTCTTTTCTTTCGTTTCCTGAGGTTCCCCCCACCCCACCCCCGCCCCTGCCCCCTCGCCCCTTGTTATTGTCATTCGGGGAATTAGTGCAGTAAAAGCCAAAGCTGAAATGATGTGTTCAGGCAGGCGTGCCTGTTTCCTGCTAGCCATCCCCTCCTGTTGCTCATGGCAGGGATCCACAGCCTGGTCCCCGACTCTTCCAGTACATTCCACTGGGTATCATGCAGCCTCCATTCTCAAATATACTGCTTTGATGGAAAAAAATGACCGAAGTGACAAGATCGAAAAGAAAAGAGACCCTCAGTCATCTGGCTCTTTTGTAATGCTTTCTGGCCCCGCCCCACCCTTTTCTAAAAGAAGAGCTCACAGGAGTTCCAGTCCTTGGGGATCCGAAATTGCAGGGCTCCTGGTCCTTTGACTTTGAGGTTGGGGGCAGCCCGTCTCCTCCCACTTCCAGTGTCCACTGTGCTGCTTGTCACAGGATGCTGAGGTCGAATGAGCAAATCCCCGGCTACATCCCCTGATTTAGATGGGACCTTAAATCTTCACCAGAAAGCACTTGAATCGTGTCACAAATGATGCTCAGATCAGGGGACCTAAACGGCACTCAGGTTTTAACCACCCAGAGAACATCATCTAATACTCAGAGAAGTGCTGTCTACCTGCCCAGTTAAGTTCATCGAACCACCGAGGAAACAAACGCTGTTTCCCCCTATTTGTAAATAGCAGTGTTTTGGCTGAAGTGCGTCAAACTCTTTTACTTAGAAGGTTCTCATCTTTCACCTTTCACTTTTCCACTAGCTCTTTTTAAAATATAGGTCAACGTACTTTTTTTTTACAATGACTTCTAAAACATCAAGGTGACTATTGCATATCTTCTCATTTTTCTTCGCCTTTAAAAAAATTTTATTTCTTTATATGGAGGTCCAGGGGATTGAACCCAGGACCTTGTGCGTGCTGAGCATGCACTCTACCACTGAGCTATACCCTCCTCGCTGAAAATGACTTAAAATTCATGACAATGGATAATTCAATTCCAACCTCTTTTTTTTTTGGATTCCCCCAAATAATACCTTTAAATATCAGGCGATTGTATCTCCTATTTCAAAACAACAGAGAGTAATTTCAGGATCTAGTTTGGCCAAAGCTTTTTGGCTTAGAATGAATATTAAAATATTTTAAATACTTGCAGTTTGACAAAGCGTTCCACTACATGACTTAATCAGGCCAGCAGAGTCTATTTACACTTTTATTTCCAACTGGCCAACAACCCGGGGTTCAGATTTATACATGCGGAGGAGAAACATGAATGTTACTATATTGAGAAATACAGACAGTAGCTAAATTAGGAAATTGCATCATACTTCTGGAGTCAATGTATTATTTAAAACGGCATTGTCTGAGTGTTGAAAACAGAGCTTTTTCCTGTTGTCCTTTTGGCTGTCCTTCGGTATTAAACAATCCCTACAGGAGAGCTTTTTTTAAAAAACCACTTGTTGGTGGGGGTGGGTTATAGCTCAAGTGGTAGAGTGTTTGCTTAGTACGCATGAGGTTCTGGGTCCTATCCCCAGTGACTCCTCTAAGAATAAATAAGGAAACCTAATTACCTCCCCCCACCAAAAAAATTTAAAAATAAAAACTGCTTGTTGTAATAGGGGAAGGCCATTACCTGGCCCCTTTCCTTCCCAGCAGGCCTTGTGACCTGTTTATCCAGATGAGACACGAGGCATTTGGGGGCATTGTTTACCTGTTTATATGTATTGAGTTAGTAAATGAATGTGTCTACATCCTTCATGGTTCCAGGTGCTCCTGAGTAAATGTTCTTTTAACTAGAATTGGGAACAGAGCAATAGGTATCTTTTCTTCTGATCAGTTTCAACAAAAAGTATGATCAGATGGGTTGACCAGACAGATTAAATGACACTGAACCAAAACAAAACAAAACACCCCACAACATTTTAATCACATTAAACACGTAAGATGTGCTTTCTCATCTATGTCAAGGAAGGGTTATCCATTAACCCCCATAATTACTAATGGAGCACAGTGCAAAACCCAGGGAACCTGAGTTCTAGCCACATTTCCACCTTTAAAGAAACCATTTTCAGCTATGGGAGAATGAATGTTGAAATCCACGTTTTGCCCACTGTTTCAATTTATATGTTAGGAGAGCAAAGACTAGGAGAGCCATCACGATTTTTTTCTTTAAAGCCAATTTCTAGTTACCCAGAGGTGTGATTTTACCAGACAAACAGTACTTTTTTCTCTTGCCTCTCAGCCCATGCCTGTACGGGGACCTAACTGTAAATGTAACCACATCAACACCGAGTTACAGCCCCACATCCTCGCCCATCTTTCCCGGGTTTAATTGCACGTACTTATGCAAACGCCATTATACTTTCATAATTGTTCTGGGACTTGTTTTTCCATTCTCAATTAACTGCTATCCTGTAGTGGAGAAAGAAATGGAGGGGACACAGGCTTGAGCACAAACGCTAGATTTATTATGTTATGTAACAGGGAAAGGGCACTGAGAGGGCTGGGTCTGATAAGGTTTGTTGACGTGTCTTTGAGAGGCGTAAGGCAGAAAAGATTAGGTAAATGAGGTTCTTGGTCTTGCAGGTAGCTGTTCTTTGGAAGGTCATTTTTGTGTGGTTTGTGTTGTTATTGAAGCAGGTCAAATGACTCAGGGATTCATTCTTAATTATAAAATGTAGGGATTTATTTTTTCCCCCTTGGAACTAAGAGTATTTCATGAGAAAGCAGAGAATGGTGACAATCCAGTTCACTTTGTACAGCCAATTAATTCTGCGGCGGGTGTCCAGATGGTTTGTAAACGAAACCTTTTGTCTATCGATCGATCTATCGATCTGTCTGTGTATTTATGTATGTATGTATATATTTTTTAAAATGATCATAATGCTAAAGCGAAGAAGAATGCAGACATTTCCAAAGCACATCTTTAACTAAAAAAACGGTTCTCCCATAACTCAGAAGTCCTCCAGTGGGGTTCGCTGGGGAAGATCCACCTTCTCCTGGGACTCAATCATCTTCCTTTCTACACCGCTCATCTAATTAGCAGCACAGAAGTTGTTGTCTAGATCACAGAACCCAAAGCGTGATTTCAAACCCTTGTCTCAGAGGGGGAAGAAGTTTAATACCCAGACTTTTCAAGAACCTAGGTGGCAGGTTCAGAAGGCGTCCATACTAGATCATACCATGGTCGTGTGAGCTGCAGGAATCTGCATCTGATTTTGATGTAGCAAAGGCATCACTTCCTGGATGCTAAAGGATGCTAAGCAAATATTTGCAAAAGATACCACACACAAATTCCCATAGGCAAATGTCAAAGCGTGTGCAGACAGGACGCAATCTTCTGGTAGCAGAAATGTAGCAATTAATGCTACGAAGAGCCTGTTATTGGAGGACTTAGAAAATGAAAAATAATCCCAAATAGGTCACAGCCAATAAACAGTTCAGGGTGAAACTCACCACTGAATTTACTTGTGGAAATTAACTGCTTAACTTTGGAGGAAGAACTGACTCATGGTTTTACCAAAATACTTGTTTCCAGAAAGGATTCAGCCAAACTAGGTGTGCCTGTGGCTTGAGGTTGAGGAGAGTTTAGATCAAAAGTCTGCAAACTTCTGTTTAACATCTCTTTACATGGAAGGGCTGTTAAAATACAGGTTGCAGGGTCCCCCACCCCAAGAAGTCAGTTAGTTCCGGGTGGAATTTAATCATTTGCATTTCTAACAAGGTCTTGAGACCGAAGTTTGAGAAATAATGGATCAGACGCCAAAATTCAATGATTTCTTTTTCCTCAGTGACCCCCCTCCCCCCAACCTATTTTCCTAAGACTAAGAAATATGCTGTAAACAAAACAGCCTATGTTGTGGGATAAACAATACTGTATAATTTGGAAATACTTAATAAACATGAATTCAAACGGTGGATAATCTGATCCCTCCAATAAAATTTACAGTGGAAAGATAATTGGTGCTTTCAGGAAGAATGAAAGAAAATGGATATACAGAAAGGTGCTAAGTTGCTATTATTTACATAAGACAAACCCTAGTTGCCAATCATCCTGCTGCAAATGCATGCTCGAATTTACTGTACACAGCAAGCACACCTGTGCGTAATCCCATTCTTCCACAAAATATAGATTACGATTATTTACCTACAAACAACGATGCTTTGAGTATCTAGTGTGATAAGCTGACATGGGGGAGGCTGTAGAAGGATACAAAAATTTTTCTAAAAATGAGCAAGAGTCAGAAAATACCCAATATTGGGGCAGAGGCAGAGCAACCGGACCACTCATGCACTGCCGCTGGACACGTGAATTGGGACAACTATGGACAACTGACAGCGTCTGCTCAAGCTGAGCACAGACATATCCTCTGACCGAGCAATTCCATTCCCAGGTATTTACACAACAGAAACGTGTCCAAGTTCATCCAAGGACACACAGCTCAACGTTCACTGCCGCCATGTTTATAACGGACCCAAACGCCCACCCATAGTTGGCTGTTATATAGTTAAATGGTTATAGTTAGAGTTGTTCTAATTATATAGCTATTTGGCGATAGTGTATAACCACAGTTGTATAGTTACATAGCAGGGTTTCTCAGCCTTGGCGCTCTTGGCACGTGGCCCCATTGTGCCTTGCCGTGGGGGCTGTCCCGTGCCCGGCAGTATCTGCAGCAGCATCCCTGGTCTCTACCCACCAGTTGCCACTATCACCCCCTGCCCGAGCTGTGAAAACCAAAAAACGCCTCCAGATATCGCCAGGTGTTCCCTGGGGGACAGAATCGTCTCCCCCCACCCGCACCTCACAGAGCCGTGAGACTGAATCAGTAGAGCTACCTGCAACGACAGCAAAGGGGACTCTCACAAACATACCCTGAGCCAAAAAGGGCAGACAGAAAAAGCACTTGCCGTGTGTTTCTATTTCTGTAAAGGACAAAAGCAGGTAAAAGCACCTCTGCTGTCAGACATCAGGGTGGTGACTGGGGTGTTGCTCATGCTGTGTGCCTTGCTGTGGGGGCAGTCCCATGCCCTGCATCAGCCTGAGCCCTAATGATATGTGCCCTTTTCTATGTTATATAATATCTCACCAGGAATGAATGAATGAATAGAATGAGTCAAAGTCCTTCTCCTAGAAATACTCTTCCAGAGGAGTCTTCCAGGTGAGTGGGGATCAGGTGTCTTTCTGGAATAACTGGTTTGTATGGTTATCACTGATGATCAACTGCTCTGCAGAACCGCATACCAGAGCCCACATAATTTCTTCCTTAAGCAGACCAAGGGTGTTTCCACTCTGCCTCCCAACATTAACCACCCTTGGCCACAACCTGACCACTTCTCCTTCCTACCAGGGAACGACACCCAGCAGAAAAGGAGCCAGGAGGAAACAGAACAGGAGGTCAACACTTAGTTCAAAAACGTTTTGCGCTCATCAACACAGAACTGACTGCCAGCCTTTAAAGCACGTGTCATCTAGACTGGATAAGGATGGAGGGGCCCACTGCACTGACAAGGACAACGCATGTTAAAACAGGGTACCAGGAAGTGTGAATGACACCGGATAGCTGGTGTTAGGGGCTGTCCTTCCACCTCCCCCAAGTTACCCAATGAGGAAACTCTGATTCTCAACTCAGAAGGTCGCTGGTCTCCAGGAGGCTGCCACTACAGGAAACAGTTGGGGAACTGAGCTAGAAGCACTCCATACGCTTTGGGAAAAGATGGAGCCATTTCTAGCTGTGCCCAGAAGGAGGCTGTTCAAGGCTGTTCTGGGCTCCATGACCTTCAGAACGACTTCAGGTTTCTATTCTCAGGCTCCATCTCTTGTCAATAGTGACCTATTGTTGCCATTAATTTTATTCCCAATCCTGCTTTGTCCTTAATTTCACTTCCCCTCCTATTTTAACCTTCCCTTTTATGGTTTTGAAGCTAGGAAGCAAAGAAAGCCGTAAACCCACCCTACACTCAGCTTTTGCCTGATTCATAAGACTGAAGCCTTTGGCGTCTCACAGAGCAGGACTGAGCCCTGTCAAGTCGCAAAGAGCAGCTAAAAACAGCTGCATACAGCTCAGCATTTGCATGGAAAATTCTACCGGGAAGCGGGGCGGTAGCAGCGGCGGGGGCAGGGGGACCTGATTTACTTTCCGTAAAAATTGTTATGATTTTTCACCCCGGCTAGAAGGAGGCTAGTTAAGATTGCAAAGATTATAGGAATTTGAAGTTCACTTCATTCCTAATAAGGAGAAAACTAGAGAGATACATTTATGAATCCTCGGAGGGAAAAAACAAATGGTTACGAAACTCTGTCAGATGCAGCCCTGAATGTGTTGAGCTGGATAACACAGGAAAAGGTGCTGAAGCAGCAAAGAGGTGTAGATTTAAACACCCACCCCCTCTAAGTTTCTAGGTGGTCAAATATAGCTAGCACAGACCAATGCACACTCACGCGAACGGAGACCACTGCCAAGGACTTCTCTTGTGAAATGGAAGAAACAAAAAGAAAAAGCCACAAAACCCTAACTGGGACTCCAGCATAAACCCCTTCGTCTCACTGTTAAAGAGCTGGCAGAAAGGCCAGAGACTAGAGATAGCAAATAAGGTTTTTGTTAGACAGGAGGGAATTGTAGCCATTTGATTCTTTTTAAAAATAAAAAAAAAAAATTGTATTTTATCGAAGTGAAATTGATTTACAATGTTAGTTCCAGGTATGCAGCAAAGCGATTCACTTATTCATACACATACATATATATACATATGTTTTCAGATTTTTTTCCATTATAGGTTATATGTGAAATTGAATATATTCCCTGTGCTATATAGTAGGTCCTTGTTGTTTATCTGTTTTATATATAGTAGTGTGTATCTGTTAACCCCAGGCATTTGATTTTTAAAAGGAGTTGGAATTACAGTTTGCATAAAACCACAGAAAAGGGGTCAAATCTTAGTAACTACATGTTAGTGCATGTTAGTAACTACAGTGTCTCAGTTAAATGGGTTGTTTTCATACTCACAGATACAGAGGACAAACTAGCAGTTACCAGCAGGGGAGGGAGTGGGGGTGGAAGGTACAAACTACTGGGTGTCAAATAGAGTCAAGGATGGATGGTACAACATGGGGAATACAGCCAGTAGTTTGCAGGAAGTGTAAGTGGAAAGTAACTTCTTACTTTGATTTAAAGTAAGTTAATTTAAAAATAGTATTAACAATTCATTTTAGAAATAAAAAATAAAAAGGGCATTAAAATAAAATAGAGAAACAAACAAACAAAATAAATGGGTTGCTTTATTTTTTAAGTGAGTGTTAGCTAATTGCTTAGTCAGATGATTCAGGAAGTAGAAACCTGAATTAACGTTTTGGACCTGAAATGTGAATGTTGGGCAATTTCATCTTTTAATCTACCCCATCTTCGAAACAAATTTAAGTGTCTTGACTTTGGCACTTAAGAGCTGAGTGTCCTTGGGAAAGTAACACAAACTCTCCACACCTTGGTTTCCTCATCTATAAAACAGAGATCGAAACAACACCGAGATTGAAAGAAACAATGTCCAAAAGGCACTTAGTCCTCTTCTAAGAAGACAGACCAAAGGCCAACAAGCACATGAGAAGATGGTCAACATCGTCGCTCATTAGGGAAGTGCAAGTCGAACTGCAAGCGATACCACTGCATGCCCACTGGAATGCGTGAAATTAAAGACAGACAATGATGTGAAGAAACCGGAACCTTCACACACTGCTGATGGGAATGCAAAATGTTGCAACTGCTTTGGAAACCAGCTCGGCAGTTCCTCAAAATGTTAAACAGAGAGTTAACAGACACCATCAGTTTCACTTTTAGAATCTACCCCGGAAAAATGAAAATGTGTTTATACAAGGACTTGCCCCAGAAAGTTCATAGCAGCATTATTCCTAATGGCCAAGAAGTAGAAGCAACTCAGATGTCTATCAGTGGATGAATGGATAGACAAAATGTGGTATATCCACACAATGGAATAGTAGTCACCCATCTAAAGGAGTGAAGTTCTGATTCACGGTCCAACATGGATGCACTTCAAACTATTACATTCAGTAGAAAGAGCCAAACATGAAGAAATACGTCCAGCTTGATTTATACAAAACGTCTAGAAAAGGCAAATCCAGACAGAAATCGAAGGGTCGGGTGTGGAAATGGAGAGTGGCAGTAAGTGGACATGAGGTTTCTTTGAGAGGTGATTAAAATATTCTCAATTAAATTGGGGTCATGGTAGCACACCTGTAAATATGCTAAAAATCATCAAATCGTTGACTTGAAATGAGCAAATTTTACGGTTATGCGAATCATGTACCTGAATTACAAACCTCCATTCTTTTTTTTTAAACATTTTTTATTGATTTATAATCATTTTACAACGTTGTGTCAAATTCCAGTGTTCAGCACAATTTTTAGTTATACATTAACACATATATATATTCATTGTCACATTTTTTTCTCTGTGAGCTACCATAAGATCTTGTGTATATTTCCCTGTGCTGTACAGTATAATCTTGTTTATCTGTTCTACAGTTTTGAAATCCCGTCTATCCCTTCCCAAACCTCCATTCTTTGATGTGTAAAGCATACCTCAGTAAAACTGTTAACTTAGGGAGAAAAAGGCAGTTTCTTCAAGTGCCTGACACTGAGACGACCTCACGTGATGGTGATTCACTGGCCTTCAAGAAAGACTTTGTAGTGACTAACCCTGGGTCAATTATAAGCTGTCAGTGACTAAGACAGTCAAAAACTTCCGGGTTCGCATGCAAGCAACACCACGTTTATTTTATACTAACAATGCAGGTGAACTGACTTCCACCTGACACCCAGCGCTGTGTGGGCTGCAGCGTGCAAAGACAGAAATCTCATTGGACACTCCAGGATTCTGCATTCTGTCCATCTCCACAGATACTGAAATGACAAACTCCAAGAAGATAAGGGCTATCAGGGAGGGGAAAAAAGAGCCCAGAGGACAAACATCAACTCTGCCCTAGGCGTGGTGGGTGGTCAGTGGTCAGTGATTTCACAGAGCTCAGGGCCTTCAGAGATAATCAGAATTTCTCCAGGCAAAGAGAGGCCTAGGGTGAAAACCAGCACAAAGGCTGAGAGGTCGGCTTGGGGCTCAGCAATTACACAAGGAATTCAAGTGGTAGCAGAAGAAAGCTCTTTGACTGCATTTTCCGGATATTTTTAAACCAAAGCCCCTCAGGGTCAAAATGCCTGGCAAATTCCCTTAATTTTTGATTTCACTTTTCTGGACCTGAATAAAAATGGACAACTGCAATCTTCCAAATGCGGAAAGAGGGTAATGTCTAGTGACCTTAGCAGTCAGATGTCTACCGACCCCCACAGACCCACCACTGTCCCAGAGTTTTCTGATGGATTTAGCCGAGGCGGCAAGGATGTTGGCCTTCTGGAAAAGAGAGTGTGGGGCAGGACACCTGCCCCAGGGATGGCTTAAAAGATGAATTAGGATGGGAAATAACAAAATAAACGTTCTGCAAAAGTGAAAGGGAATGTCCTTCATTTGAAGAAAATATTGTAGTTGAGAAACAGAATAAGGCTCTTTGCCATTTATTGGCTCCTCACTCAACCCTCGATTAGAAGCCCAGAGAGGGAGGCAGCTAGGCCGGCGCAGGAGTAACATGGGAGGGGAGGGTGGCTGCTTCTGTGCAGGAGGAGAGGAGGGGAAGCCCCTGTGAGGGAGTGAGGGACATCCCCCTGAGGCCTGGAGAGCAAGCCGGAATGAGCAGCAAAAATAGAGGGCATTTAGGAACAAGGGGACCGTGCAAGCGAAGGCCTGGGGACTGTTTGTCTTCAGACCAACCTAGAGTGACAGAAGCTTGGCAGAGTCAGAGGCCGGCCACTCGTCACAGAAGCCTACTTTCTAATCAGAGGAAAGAGAGACCAGCCACTTCAGATTCTATGCGTGTGATGTTTCTAAGAAAAGCAACAGCCGAGGGGAAAACCTCTGTGGGTCACATTCTCGGTTTCTAGCAAAAAAATCACCCCCGCACTTCCAAAAGCACATTATTCGGTGGGGGGGGGGGGTTTCACCCACACAAGTTTTAGAATTATCACATTAAAACCTCAAAAATCAGCATCGAAGAAGTTCATCTGTTCCCCCTCTCTTTGAATATTTAATGAGTTCCTACAATGTACCAGGTACAATTTGTGTATATAGCCTAATCTGTCCCACAGTCCGACAGGGGATATTTGGATGAAGAATCAGACTCAGAGAAATTAGGCATTTTGCCCAGATCCACACAGACTGTAGGTGGCGGAGCCAGGACTCATCTGCGTTTAAATCCTACCAGCAAATTGGAGGCCACTGTCTGACTCCACAGAGTAAACAGATTTTTAGATTGTTCAAAACACACTACAGTTGCGTAAACCTGAAATGCATTCTAATTGGTGACCACTGATCCTAGTTCAGTGGGGCCCAACTCCTAGTATTTTTTTGTTTTCTCTTCAATCCACTTTTAGCTTCCTTAGTATAAAATTAAGACAGGTCACCACAGGAAGAGATGTTATTTCTGAATATTAAGTATTAATAGTATTTTCATGAAATTAATGGCTTTTAAATATTAATTTGATATCTAAAAAAATCTTTATTGAGACATAATTAACATACAGCCCTGTATAAGTTTAAGATCTACAGCATAATGATTTGACTTACATACATCATGAAATGATTACCGCAGTAAGTTTAGTGAGTGTCCATTATCTCACACAGATAAAAAACAAAAGAAAAAATAATACTTTTTTCCTTGAGATGAGAACTCTTAGGATTTAGTCTCTTAACAACATTCATATAAAATAAAAGGTTTCTGCAGTACAGCACAGGGAACTATGTTCAATATCTTGTAATAACCTTTAATGAAAAAGAATATGAAAACAAATATATGTATGTATATGCATTCCTGGGACATTGTGCTGTGCACCAGAAATTGACACCGCGTAAACTGACTGTACGTCAATTTAAAAAAAGGTCATGTATTACATACAGTAGTGTTAATTATATTAATTATGATGTGCCTTACATCCCAAGTACTTATCTACCTTACAACTGAAAGTTTATACCTTTTGACCACATTCGTCCAATTTTCCCCTTCCTCATCCCCCACCTCTAACCTCTGGCAACTACAAATCTGATCTTTTTCTATGAATTTGTTTGTTTTTAAAGTTTAATTGATCTACAACACTGTGATTTCCTGTTATACAACATAGCGACTTGACATTTCTATGCATTTCAAAATAATCACCATGAT